CATGGCATTTGCAGGGAAATAGATGGAGTTTGAAAAATACAGTGCTAAGTGAAGTAAGCCAATCCCAAAAAACCAAATGCTGAATGTTTCTCTGATATAAGGAGGCTTATTCATAAGGGAATGGTGTGTGGGGAGTATGGGAGAAATAGATGAAGTTTAGATAGGGGAAAGGCGAGAGAGTGGTAGGGAGGAGGCATGGGAGTAGGAAAGATGGTGGAATGAGATGGATATCATTACCCTAAGTATATGTATGAAGACACTAATGGTTTAACTCTACTTTGTGTTCAACCAGAGACATGAAAAATTGTGCTCTATTTGTATAATATGAATTGAATTGCATTCTGTCATATATAACTAATTAGAATAAAATAAAAAATTTAAAAAACGGGATTATAATTAGAATAAGTTATACTCCATGTGTGCATAATATGTCAAAATAGATTCTACTGTCGTGCATTTCTAAAAAACCCAATGTGTTAGTGGTTTATATATTTACGTTTATAATTATTTTATAGTGTTCTTGTACTTAAGAAAAGTGTACTGTATTTGGTGAACTCTTCTCATTGATAGTTGTGGTCTTGTCAAACTCAAGTGGAGTGTCAAACTGTGTACCAGTCATGGAGGAGTAGTCTGGTGCAGTAGGACCAGCAGAGATCCTAGAAAGTTTACAAATTTGAAAACATTGGTTCTTTTGAAGAGATAATGTGGTAAGATTGTTGCTTTGCTTCTCAGTGATTAGTTGTGTAATATCTCCAGATTTATATTTTTCGTAAATAGGATTGGGGTGCAGTTTTGTTTGTTTATGCGTGTATATCTTATTTTCTGAGAACATTTGTTGTGAAGACTGTCTTGTCCTCATTGTTCCATTTGTCATGAAGCACATTTCTGTATTTGCAGGGCCTTTTCTGTCTCCTGAATTCTGTTTCATTGGTCTTTTATTTATTTATTTTTTTTGCAACAGTGCCACAGTCATAATTCTATGGCTTTAAGGAAAGTTTTGCTGTTTGGAAAAGTAAGTTCTTAAAACTTATTCCTTTCTATCAGTGATTTGATTATTTTTGGCATTTTATGTTTTCTTAGAAAGTTTGGTATCGTATTGTCAAGTTATATACAACTCCATGCACATATATAATCTGTTAAGACTGTGATTGGAATTGCGTTGAATCTACAGAATGCTTTAATCCTTGCTGTTGTGGAGTGTGTATATGTGTATAGAGATCTTACATATCTTCTGTTGTGTTTAATCCTAACCATTGGGTTAACCACTGTTCTTAAATTTTTTAGTTGTAGTTAGACATAATACCTTTCTTTCTTTTTTTTTTATGTGATGCTGAGTATCAAACCTAGTGCCTCACATTGTGCTAGGCAAGTGCTCTGGCACTGAGCCATAACTCCAACCCAAGTGTCTCTTTTTGATAGTTTATTGAGCTGTACTTTGAAGTTTTGTGCATATTTGTAAGACATAATAAATATTTGACAATAGTAAAGATTTAAAAAAATACAGTAGATCAAAAAGTACCAAATATCTAGGATTAAGTATAATGAAAGATGTACACAATCTTTATGCAGAGATACCATGTAGTTTTGATTATGTCATCTAATTTTGACTGTTAAAGAAGCTTTTTTTATTGAGCTCGTGTGAGGCCACCTTCTTCTACTTAGGCTTTTGGTTTTTTCCTAAGGGAATGATGAAATAGGAGCAGTTACTCTGTTCTTTTCTGGCATGTACTGCAGTTCACGGGCTAGTGAACTAGAGTGAGAGGTTCTTGGGTTTGTATCTGACTTAGTAAGGAATGTTTGTTGTGCTTCACTCAGGAAGTGATGTTGCTTGTAGTTTTTGGGTAGATAATTTTCTCAAGTTAGGTAATTTTCTTTTATTTCAACTTTATTATTATTAGTTTTCTACACAGCATATGAAGGATTTTTGTTCAGTTTTACTGAAATTTTGGCTTTAATTTTATAAAACTTTTTTTGTTTTTAATCAGGTACCAGCAAAATATTTCCTAGAGGCCAAATACAACCACTTTTTTTAGGGCCTGTGATCTAAGAATGGTGTTTGCATTTATAAACAGTTTATGAAAATCAAAATAATAATGATATTTCCTGACAAGTATAAATTATATGAAATACAAGTTTCCTTGTCCATTAGTTAAGTCTCATTGAAACATAACACATTCATTTGTTCACATGTTGTCTGTGGCTGTTTTTGTACTACAGTGCAGAGTGGAGCAGTTGTGACAGAGGCAAGATAACCTGCAGATTCCAAAATAGTTACTGTCTATACCTTTACAGAGAAAGTTAGTTGACCATTTTAGAGCATCATGACAATTACATATTTATATTCTTCTACCTTTCCATTAGTTCAGCCAGGAGTAACCAAAGATCATGACCCAAACTTGCCTCAAGTATGAAACACTCATTATCACACACACTCATGCTCCAGGCATGGTATGGTCATTCTTCATATCTGATCTTTTGACTTTGTACCTCATCTCGATTCTCATTGTCTTTAAGTGTACCACAAATAATCCCATATATGGTTCCTTTAAGTTTGATTTTCTTAGTCTTTAAAATGAATAAAATTTCATTGATAATACACATGGGATGTGAAAATTGGTTCCTAGTGACTTTGCTTATTTTTTCTTTAGCAAATGTAGTTCAAGAACATGTTAATCTGTTTTTCAATCACATTATTAGGTGGGTGGACATTATTGGTGCCATATGCAATAGTCATGTCCCAGGCATCAATGACACCTACATTGAGATCTTTGAAAATGTCATTCAGGGTAAGATACTGAATGTAACCATGGAAGTCTCCAAACCACTCTGTTTCTACATGCATCTCCCTGATATTTTCTGTCTTAATGATTACTTTAGTGTCTGGGCTTCTTAGGAATAGTTGTTCAATAGCTTTTCGAACACTGATGGCCCTGTGAATGAAAACGTCAATGGGGAAAGGTCTGAAGTATTGGCCAAAGGTTATGACAATGGCTGTGTTTTTGTCACCTGAAATCTGGTCAATTTCCTGAGGGATATAACCTTCTTCTGTCACAGAATAAAGGTGAGAAGTGATAAAAGGATAGCTATGTTTTTTCCATTATATCTGAGTATGTCTTTCAGCATCCAGAAGCAAATGTTTCTTAAAAGGTCCAGTTCCATGAAGATCAAAAAATTTTAGTGCTGATAAGAAAAAAAGCAGATTTTTAGATAGAAGGCAGTGATTAATAGTTTTAAAAAGAATATCTACAATATCATTTATAATCACCTTCTATAGTATTTTTGTTGGGAGCATCCTACCCTCTAGGATAAATTACCAGTTCATGTGTGTGAAATATCAATCAAAATGTAAAGTTTTCTTTGGAGTTTATAAGGAGGAACAACAGTTCTTATGAAAGAGGGAATAAAATAGATTTTAAATTAAGACAACTCTAGAAAGCTAAATGAAATTTTAAAAAAAGCAACAACAACAACAAAAAACTAGCCTAAGTGAGAATAGATGGAGACCTCATTGAAAGTACTTTATGATCAGCTTGAACTTCCAAAAGAACATAAAGTAACTACATACTTTTTACAACTCTGGGTTAGTAGGGGATCCACTGACACAATGTGGAATCTCCCAT